TGACTATTTTATCTCTTACCACTTTGTAACTATATCTTTATGGTTCAGGCACCTAAAGCCAGTGAGCTTCTGAGAGACAGGGAGTGGATCTTGTTCATTGTTGCTCCTCACCCTCCCGAAGGCCCAGCATCATGCCAGGCACACCATAGCTGTTAAGTAACCTTTTATTGACAAAAGTTCGTCAATTACACATGTATGGCTGGTCCTAAACACTTAAATTTCTTCATGCCCCTTTCATTAAGGTCCAGACATAAGCACAAAAGCAGACAAAAGCAAAAGTGGATAGAAATATCATCCCCAGACCTCCAGATCCAGAGGCTACAACACGGAGAAAGTCCTTGGATGTTTTAAGACATAGAATCCACATTAGAACTGCCCAGAACCATTGTTTTCCTCTTTGGGACAGAATAAATCACCCTAGTTCTAGGACACATAGTAAGGACGTTGTTTCATAAATACACATGTGCAATGCCAAAAAGTCAGTAAGGCACTCCCAATGTCTAAGTTTCCAAGAAATTTTATTCATTTACTTGACAGACATTTACAGAGCCTCTAGTCTAGTCTATACTAGATACTGTGCTGAACACAAAACAAAGCATCCTGACTCTGCCCTCAAGGACAGTGATTTTGGTTGGGTGACCTCTCCATTCCTGGCTTTCAGGTCCCATAGAGTCCTCCCAGTCATGTTAATTTTGCGTTCAGCTTCCTCTTTTCACAGCCCTGCACTCGGAGGGCTATGAACAGTTCTCTTGTGAAAACAGAAGATGATTACTTCATTAGAAGAAAGTGATTTAGCATTTCCATTTCTCAAATTGGGCCGGAACTGGCACACAAGCCTCAGAAGATCAGCACAGGGACCTGTCCAACTGAGTCCCCATCAGACCTCCTTTTCACAAAACCAGAAAATGATGTATTTTCAGCATAGCTTAAAATGATCATCATGATTAGAAAGCTATCAGTGCACTGAGTCTTTAGAAGCCTGTCTGGCACAAAATATTTACCCTATAAATATTTGTTAAATGTATGAGTGTGTGCACAGATGGACAGTTGGATGGAAAAAGGAGAACATACAATTCTAGAGTCAACATGTCCAGTACAGGTAGCAGGAATTTAATGATTTTCCAGCAAAGTGGACAGGGCCTCAGTATTGTCATTCATTCTTTATGTATGAGCTGAGTACCTACTGTGTGCCAACTGTTAATGGTCTTGCCCAAAATCTAACTGAGTATCAACAAAGGGACATGAGATATTTAACATACATTTTGTCTTCCCAAAAATTGCTATTTTGTCACTGTAGCTAATAGGATTGGGGTAGAAATTCTGCAGTTGAAATTCCCAGGCAGACTATTCTCAGAAGACAAGGGGAAGAAAATGAGAACAGTATTCATCCATTCAACAAAAATTGTTTGAGCTCCTCCCATATGCCAGGCACACTGCTAAGTTATTGGTATACAATGAAGAATGAGAGAACTCATCCTTTCCTCATGGAGTATCTATATCTGTATATCAAATACAGAACTGAGGGCCAGCCCGGTGGCACACTGGAGAGTGCGCCGCTTGGGAGCGCGGCGGCGCTCCCACCGAGGGTTTGGATCCCATGTGGAGACCGGTTCCCTCTCACTGGCTGAGCGCGGTGCGGGTGCAACACCAAGGTTTGCGATCCCGTTGCCGGTCCCCGGTACGGGCGCGACACCAAGGGTTGCGATCCTGTTACCGGTCAGTAAAAAAGACAAAAAGGAAAAAAAAAATTACAGAACTGAAATTCCACTGATTTTACATCATCATCATCATCCTGTCTACCCCCAGACACACACCCAAGTTCCTTTTCCAGTTCAGAAGTATTCCATTATTTTTCCTCATTCAAAAAAATAGACCACAGGCAGCACAGGCTACTCCAGATCTCTAAATGTTGTATAGTTTAGTTGATGGATCAGTTGCATGTGTTGGGGCTGGGTTTGCCTGGAAGTGCTCTGATTTCATCATTTTATAGTTTGAAAGAAGAAAAGAGAAACCAAAAGGGCAAAAGAACAACATAATCTCAGGTAAGTGAGCAGCACAGCAGCATCTCCGCAGCAATTAGGAAAGGAACTATGTGCTGCATAGAATCTGGGCAGGTGTTTAATACCAATTCTGGAAGCTTAAAATCCTGGTGATCTAGGTTTTGAGTTTTGCTCTTTTCTTCTCATTCCTAGAACCAAAGGCAGGCCTATTTCATAAACCCAAGGTCAAATTGTTTCCTTAGGGTCTTGAATCCCACTATCTCATACATAATCTATATCAATTTTATGAAAAGCACTGCTTTTCCAGTGGCCAGACCATTCAAACCATTCTAAAAACTTCTTGCAGAGCAGTTCCCTGAGGCAAAAAAAGTTCTCCCGTGATCTGTCCTAGGGCCTGAAATGCACTAGAATTAGGACTTTCCAGCACCTGATCTGGGCACACAATTGTACAGAAAGACATTTATGTCCTTTGCAGAGAAGCCAGTCTTCTGGGTAGGGAATAAGAAATAGGGAGATGCTCAGAGAAAAAAGGGAAGTTATGAGGATGTCAGAGGTGGATAGTGACTATTTTATCTCTTACCACTTTGTAACTATATCTTTATGGTTCAGGCACCTAAAGCCAGTGAGCTTCTGAGAGACAGGGAGTGGATCTTGTTCATTGTTGCTCCTCACCCTCCCGAAGGCCCAGCATCATGCCAGGCACACCATAGCTGTTAAGTAACCTTTTATTGACAAAAGTTCGTCAATTACACATGTATGGCTGGTCCTAAACACTTAAATTTCTTCATGCCCCTTTCATTAAGGTCCAGACATAAGCACAAAAGCAGACAAAAGCAAAAGTGGATAGAAATATCATCCCCAGACCTCCAGATCCAGAGGCTACAACACGGAGAAAGTCCTTGGATGTTTTAAGACATAGAATCCACATTAGAACTGCCCAGAACCATTGTTTTCCTCTTTGGGACAGAATAAATCACCCTAGTTCTAGGACACATAGTAAGGACGTTGTTTCATAAATACACATGTGCAATGCCAAAAAGTCAGTAAGGCACTCCCAATGTCTAAGTTTCCAAGAAATTTTATTCATTTACTTGACAGACATTTACAGAGCCTCTAGTCTAGTCTATACTAGATACTGTGCTGAACACAAAACAAAGCATCCTGACTCTGCCCTCAAGGACAGTGATTTTGGTTGGGTGACCTCTCCATTCCTGGCTTTCAGGTCCCATAGAGTCCTCCCAGTCATGTTAATTTTGCGTTCAGCTTCCTCTTTTCACAGCCCTGCACTCGGAGGGCTATGAACAGTTCTCTTGTGAAAACAGAAGATGATTACTTCATTAGAAGAAAGTGATTTAGCATTTCCATTTCTCAAATTGGGCCGGAACTGGCACACAAGCCTCAGAAGATCAGCACAGGGACCTGTCCAACTGAGTCCCCATCAGACCTCCTTTTCACAAAACCAGAAAATGATGTATTTTCAGCATAGCTTAAAATGATCATCATGATTAGAAAGCTATCAGTGCACTGAGTCTTTAGAAGCCAAGATGCATTTATCTTTAACATGATCATATAGTATATAGGGGTGTTTTAAGGGTTTGGGTTTTGGGTTGTTTGCTTTTTAGTTTTTTTCTTAAGAACTGGGCTTCCAACCTTAGAAATTATACTTGGCTTCCCTGCATGCACCCAGGGTGTGTTAGCAAGCTGGCATCCTTTCCTAAGCTAACTAGCTGTGTGGTCCTTCTATGCACTGTTAGAAAACTGCTATGAATTCCTCTTAAAGCAATGTTTCCTGGTGGTTGCATGATCTCCTGAACCTGACAGCAAACAATGCCGAAAAGAAGCATTAGACGAAAGGGACTTTAATAAAGCCACTTACTAACCAGGGGCTTTTCTTTAAAGACATGGATGATGTGACCCACTTCTCGGAAATCCTTAAAAATATAACTGGGCCCCTTTACAGTGCCATATCAAAGATTAAATATCATATCTGCATTAATTACTGCTGGCCGTGTTGGTCTGGGTTTTTCCTATGAGTGGTTAGCACATTGCTGCGGTCATAATTTGACCTATGTCAGAATTATGTTACATTACTATTCCACCATTACACAATTCTTGAATTGTATATTATATATATTAAATGATGTATATTAAGTATATGTAATATAGTATATGTAATATTTAATTATAATAATAATATATTTTTATTGTATAATAATACATTGACATTGAAAAAAAACCAACAAAAAGCATAGTTGAGGTTCTCCAGTAGCACACCTCCCCAAAGGTAGCCATCTTTAACAGCTTGATATATTTCCCTTTTATGATCATTAACAAGTAAAAAAAAAATTTTTTTTTTTTAGTTTTTAAAGAAATATAATAAACTTGCTAGATTTTTAAGAATTTAAGTCTTTTTCAAAATCGGGGGAAAAAAAACAATAAATGTCAATTAAGATTTTTTCCCTCACCATGAGATCTTTAAGATTAGAAACTGCTTTTTTGTTTTTTTATATTTTTAATGAAGTGATTCAAGATAGGCAGTGGCCAATGTGAGAGAACTTACATATGCTATAATGCTGTAATCGGGTTTTTGTTCATTCATTCATTCTCCTGCAATTAAGGTTCTCCATAGCATGTAAACTATAGACAGAAATACATCAAGCTACAGGTGTTCCACATACTGCCGAGAAAGGAAGGGTGTGCTTGGCGGTCGCCATGAATAGGCCTGCCTTAGTTGGGAAAGTCATTTAAAAGAGAACACATGTGAAGTCATTGTCGATTGAAACTGATTACAGCCTTCAATTTTCTTTTTCACTGACCCCTCAGAAAATGTCTCCTCCACCTGCTGCCATCTGAACACTGAATTGGTCTTTTCCTACTTTGTTTTAATAGAACCAGGATTGCATTTGAAGTTAAGCTGCAAAAAACCAGTCGATCAACAGATTTTCGAGTCCCACAGTCAATATGCACCATGTTTAACGTTATGGTTGATGCCAAAGCTCAATCAACAAAACTTTGCAGCATGGAAATGGGCCAAGAGGTAACAAAAAAAAAAAAGAAAACAGATTTTTCCCCCCTCTCCATTGATCATGTAGAAGAAAACTTCATAAATTCTTTCTATCTACCGTAGTCTGCTAGTTTCAGAAATATACTCTAACATTTGTGGATTAAGCCATGGATGAGTATTGGGTATCTGTTTGTCAAGTAAATTTCTAAGGCATGTGCTGATGAAGATGCCAGTCACTTGGAAGTGATTCCTGGCTGGAACTGGGGTGGCCGTAAAGTTCCTTTAAGCTAAATGACGTTTGACAAACTCATTTATTAGGCTGGTATCGCCAACAGATATGTGTTTGCCAAAATGCAAGTCATTTTCACATTTGGAGCACATTTTATCACTTTGAACATCTGGACAGCAGGAGAGTTCTTTCTTGCATCAAGCAACTTCCAGGTTGTAATGTTAGATCATCCTGCTGCCCAATCCCCAGCCAGCAGGTTCTGAATTTCAAAAAAATTGCAGACTTTTCACTTTCCTTAGATTGAATTGATTGTGAATCTTCCCTGACCAAAAGTTTAGTCCTTTGCTAAGTTTCCAATTCTAAAGCGGTATTTAAAAATGTAAAGGAGAAGGAAACAGCAACTTGGGCTTGATTAAAGACTATCATGATCATTTTTCTCCAATGGCCTTAAGCCAGCTAGATATTCATATACCAATTTAGAATTAATTCAGAAACATTTCTGGCAACTCTGTGTTGTTGCCAATTGGCATAAATTGCTCCTAAATCAGATCTTTCGATACCAGCCTTACATGCTCAGAATTTTTACTAAATTATATTTGCTCCTTATTCGTTATTTATTTTCTCTTTCGGCACCTTCCATTTTTAAATGTGGGTTGGTGGTATTCTCTTCCTGGCAAGATCATCTCCAACCTTGTTTCCCCCACAAGTCAGCTTCCTCAGCCTCCTCCCCTCCCCCCCACTAGATGATATGTCCAAAGGCCTAGAATTGATTTCATGCACATAAGTATAGGTACAAGTTAGCCCTCTTGAAAGGCACCTACTTTTCCAAAGTCTGTGATAGAAATCTTGGTGGAAAGACCAAATAATTATAAGGAGCCACTCCACAGACACTTTTTGACCTTACAAGAGACCTTCTCACAATGGATTGATGTAGCCCTGGCTCATCTCAGATCTGCTGGGACAATCACAAACCCAACATTTGCAGTGGATGGTGGCCAGCCTTTACCCTGACATGTGACTCTATGTACCTCAATTGAGCTAAAGAAATTTGTAAACAGGGACCTTATTCAAGCTGTCACCTACTTCTCCTCACCACAGTCAATCAAATGGTTGGGCTGAAAGGATAAAGTAGAATTCTCGGCGGAGGGTGGCAACAAGATTTGTCAAGGTTTTCTCATTGCTCAGCAGGTCCACAATGATCACTAGTACCTCGAGACGTGCCGAGCCATCACTCAGAATTAGACAAGCTCTTAAAGACCAATGATAAGAACTGTTCAAGCCACTCTCTGCATTGAACACACACGTAAGTGGGCTTCAAATGAAATGACAAAAGCCCCGTGAGAAAGCTGGGGAGCAGTCTGAACCACAGCTTTCGTGTTTGGGTGGAAAAAGAAGGAGAGGAATTTGGGGATGTAGATAGTGATACAGTCATATTTGGGTGACATTATCTAATGGAGATAAGCTTTGGTAGAATAGAGCCAGGCCTGGCATTTATCTTCTTCGCATTAAAATACAGGAAGATTTTAAAACATCTCTCATGACAGACATCAGAAGGATTCAGAGAAATCTTGTTGCAGGCATTTTATATAGTGTTTCTGCAGTTTTTTGCCTTTTAGAAAAAACCATGAATGATACATATAGGATATAGCCTATAGTGTGAGTTTAGTCATTCTCAAATAATTCTTTTGCTTTGCTTATGTAATCCTGTTGATGCCCGAAGTTAAGTAGATGAACAGCAGATTAGTCTAGTAGCATCACTGTGTTTCTCACAAGTATACTCTTATCTCTGGATCACCTGCAGCAGAATTACCTGAGGTATTTCTTCAGGCCTCAGTTTCCTCATCTGTAAAATGATAGCACTAATCTACTTTTATCTGGGCTATTTTTAGCTGCAGAATCAGTTCTTCAAACGTGCCAAGAAGGCCAGCATGTGAAAGAAATAAAAGTGGAGCTGCTCTGGATGAGATGAGGGGACAGGGGCCAAGCTGCCAAGTTGCTCTCCACCTCTGCCCCTCATCACTGCCCACCTCAACCTGAGCTTCTCTGGGAGACTCTAAATAATCTCTTGTGCTTTACAGAGCCCACTTAAAAAACCCTGTTTTTGGCAATCTCTAAAATTCATTAAGATCCCTTTGCATTCATACTTTCCAGAATCCTCTTCCTCCTAAATTTTTCTCTCCTTGGAGCTTCTTCATCTTTTTTTTATTTGATGTACAATTCACAGATCCATAAAATTCACCCTTGTAAAGAGTACAATTCAATAGTTTTAGTATATTCACAAAGTTATGCAACGATTACTGCAATCAGTGTTAGGACACTTTCATCACCCCAGAAAGAAACTTGAGTGAGTACCCACTAATAGTCGCTCCTCTTCCTCCCTTCCCAGCCCCAGGTAATCATCAACCTACTTCTGTCTCTAAGAATTTGCCTATTATGAACATGCTATATAAATAGAATTATACAATATGTGGCCTCTTGTGTCTGGCTTCTTTCACTTAGCATAATGTCTTCAAGATTCGTCCACATTGTAGCATGTATTGGTCCTTTTTTTATGGCTGAATAATATACTCCATTGTATGGATATACCACATTTTGTTTATCCATTCATCAGTTGATGGACATTTGCATTGTTTCCGCATTTTAGCTATTACAAATAATGCTGCTATGAATATTCTGACACAGGTTTTTTAGCTCTGCCTCATGAGGGCTCATCAGAGAATAATTCTTTCCTTACCACTGCATTTGCTGAAATAGCCAATTTGGAGGCAGATTAACATAGTGGTTATGCTGCTCTGGAGCCAGATGACTTGGCAATTCTGCTACTTCTTGTGTGACCATGGGCATCTTATTTAACTCTTTGGAGTCTCAGTTTCCTCAGGTAGAAAGGTGCATAACAGTACCTCATGGGGTTGTTACAAGGAGTGAAAGAGCTAACACTCGAAAAGCATTCAGAACAAGGCCTGGAATACACAGAGTAAGCAAATGTGTGTTTGATAGGTGAACTGATATTTCTCAACCCATCAGTGTAATAGACACTAAAGGATCATATGGGTCTAATGCCAAAAGAAGGAGGGCACTGTGGTGATTCGGGGTAGGTTAGTCCAGAGCAGTTCCCACTCTACCCCTTTTAAAGAATTGTCTACTAAAGATTCACCCATTTGGTTAACCCAGATTTCTGCCACACAACATTCTCTTTCTTGAGTCTGTTAATTAACATGTGTATACACTTTTAGCCCACTTTTACTAACCTTTGTTAGCCAGAATAAATGGAAATAAAGTCAGTCATTAATCCAGGGCTGAATTATTTTTAAACAGGGTATTATCTCAAACTCATTTTTGTCCCAGAGGAGGGACTGACAATTCTATTACAGGTAGAAATACCAAAGAATCCAATCTCTGATTCATTCTGGCCTGTCTTCTAGTTCTTGCACAGTTGTGACATTTCATGTATTTCACATATTTCCTGAGGGGCTGCAGCTCCCAGGACACAAGGCCAGCCAGGGGTCCTCTTTCTGCATCTGTCCCTACCTAGATTCATTATGGCCTGATCTACTTTACAGGCCACAGCCTCCTATACTCATCACTCTCCCTTTCTCCTCTGGACATGCACTTCCTGAGTGTCTTTTCAAAATCTTCATGGTTCTTTCTGCTTACAAAAGTCATACATACTTTTTAAAGATTTGAAGGCTCAAAAACATATACTGTAGGACATGAAATCTATCTACACACAACTCTACTCCCCAAAAATAGATTCCAGATGGATTTAGGTGCTATATTCTAAAATTATAAAAATATTGAAAAAAGTACAGAATATACTTATAATCTTGGGGTAGAGAAAATCTTTTTAAATGAGACATGAAACATAAAAGCATAAAGAAAAAAAATGATGAATATGACCTCATAAAAATTAAAAGTTTCTATAAGGCAAAAGATATTAAAAACAGGGGCCGGCCCGGTGGTGCACTGGATAGTGC